CCCAGAAGTCGGGGGCGGCGTCGGAGGTCGCGCGGCTCTGGCCGAGGAAGAAGGGGGCGCAGCAGTCGAGGCCGAGGGTCTCGCCGCAGCACGAGGTGGGGAAGACAATGATCGTTGAGCCCGCTCATTGTCAGGAGGTAGCACCATATCAGCATCATGAGCGGAACCACACAAAACACTATTAGCACTCACAAAATTTGGACCGCCTCGATTCTCTCTATCAGCACTCACAACATCGTGATCGCCTCGAGCCCCACTCTCGGCACTCACAACATCAGGAACGCCTCGATCCCCTTCAGCCCTCACGCGTCCGTGAACGCCTCGAGCCACTCCTGGAGCTCTCTCTCCATGTGGGTGGGCGGTGCACGGCCCTGCTTCAGTTCCGCGCCCGCCTGGGCCAGGCAGTCGAGGATGATCGGTCGGATCGGGGGGTCGAGGTTCAACAGCACCTTCTTTTTGTTCTGATCGTAGCATCTGTCCATCTTGCAGAATCGGATCTTGTCGGCCTTGGCAATGGCCTCCATCTTCTCGAGCTCGGCCCTCAGCTAGGTTAGCTTCTTCGCGTTCTGTGCGCCCACTGCCTCCTTGCGCCCCATCAGGCCCATCAAGAGGCCACCGAAGACTCAGAGGTGGGGCGGCCCGAGGCCGTGGCCGCGGCCCTGAGCCGCGACCGCGTCCGAGTACTTCGTGCCCATCTCGCTCATCTTTGTCGCTTCGTGGCTGTTCGCGTCGATCAGGACGCAGTCGAAGACGACCCCCTCCACGTTCCTCTTCGACTGCCCGAGCTGCAGCAAGAACTGGAGCATCAGCACCTGCATCGTCTTCTGCTGGCCCTTAAAACCGAGGTCGGTCTTCTTTTCGCCCTCTCCGCGCTGTCGGACACGTCGGGGCCCTCCGCCCTCGCCGCCCTCGCTGGCCGCCGCCGCCGCGCCGCCGCCAGGAGGTCCGAACATCACAGTCTGGTCTGGGTCGGCGGCCCCCACGCGGCTGGCTGTCGGCTGGCGTCGGAGACGATGAGGTGTCTGAGAAGAAACTGCCACGGGCGAAGGGTGAGGAAGGTGTTGCTGTACGGCATGTGTGTTGTATTCGTCCATGGTTTCGAAGGTTTCGTCGCAATAGGTGCACTTGATGGTGTTGGGGCGACTCAGGGGCCACGGGAAACGATACCGACCGAGGCAACATTTGGGGTTCTCCCAAGACGATCGAACGTGTTGGCGGGCACTATCACGCGTCGAAAACGTGGCACCAAGGGCACTGATTGCAGATCACGCACGTGAACAGCGGGTTTCGTTTTCCATGTTCACCACCCCGAGATTGAAACATATGAGCGGTAAGGGCCCCGTGGGTCTCGAAAGTCTGGCAACAGAAGGCCCCGTTCTCGTCGCGAAGCGTACACACGAATGCCGACTGTTCTTCTTCCGTCGGGGGCGCCACAGCGCGAGCAGGTCCTCGCATGTTCTGAAAAAGACAGTCTCGACCTCGGTCAAGATCGCTGCCTTAAGGATCGACGGGCCGATGCGAAACCAAGCATCTCGCACCTCGTCGTCATCAAACAGTGCGATGTACGAGTAGCCGTGCTCACTCCATCGCTCGAAAAATTCCTCGGTCCGGCTGATGCCAGCGTACATCCACAAGTCGGCTTCTACTAGGTGCGCCAGAGGTCGGGCATCTCGTGCGAGGCGTCCTTGTGGGTCCAAAGCGGGAGGTCCATCATTGAGGGTTCCCCAGGGAGCAGCAATAACCTGGGCGTGGGCCCTGGGGTCTCGGGCCATCTCCTGGGCCCAGGCAAAGCGTCTTGAGGCTTGTGCGCACCTAGGAAGAACCACCTTCCATCTACGTCGAAGTACTGCGTGAGGGAGGCTCTGAGGATGGCTGCCACCCCAGTCAGTAGCCCTGCCCCTCTCCAAAACTCTTAAGCACTTGGCTACGATAGTGTCCATCTGGTTGGTCATTTTCTCAGAGAAAACGTAGGCCTCATTTGCCGATAAACCAGCTTCAATAACGTGTCCCTGGAACGCCAGAAGCTTCAGCTTGCTTGATACACGGCTTCCCCACAGACTTCCCATTTTTGCCCAACCCACTCTCATAGCTGAACACCTAAACTGCAGCTCCTCCATCGTCGCTAAGTTCCAAGCGTATCTGCCTCCAAGATACCGTGCCCGAGGTAAGATCTTCCCCTCCTGAGTGAGCTCCTTAAACCTCTTAGTCTCCTGGGACCGATGAAAGCTGGGTACGATTTCGCGTTTCCCCTTATTCTGGAGAAGGCCTACCAGATGCAGCTCCTCGCCCAGGGTCGCATCACTCTGTTGCGTGAGAAGATGGGCCTCACCAGCCTCGCCACTGCGTACAAGGATCTCATCAAAGATATCATCAGCGAAGACACTCGTGCCGCCGTCGATCTGGCGGGGAAATATACCGCACTGCAAGGTGATGGCCAGCTCCGCTGGTCGTGTCGGGCGCCAGGCGTGAAAATGTCGTTGCATAATCTTAGCAAAGATAAACGGGCCCCTCACTAGATCCCATCAAGCCCCCACATCCGTGTCGTATGACAAGATTCCGTGCATCCCTCCATGGCTCATCCCCCCCTTCGACAAAGCCCAAGAAGATAGCCGCATGCTCCGCTCGATGTTCAAACAGCTCTTGATCTCGGGGGAGGACGAGATCACGGATCGCTCGACGACGAGCTTCGGGCGCGGTGGAAGCGAAAGCGTTTGACATATCGTGAAGA